TGATGACTGTAAAGAACTGGACCTGCCAGAGAACACGCCTTTGCTTTGCCATCACAGCGTGTTCAATCAATACAGAGGAAATCCTTCTTATTCAATTTAGATCAAGCTCAGGGAGGTTCACCTGAGGCCACAGGACAACACTCCATATCTTATTAGAGAGACAAACTTTGCAAGGGCGCCAACTAGTGCAACATGGAACATGCTCCATCCTTCAATCAGGCTGCAGTGCCACTTATTCTGTTGTGTATGAGTAGACAGACCTGTTATATTTCTTTGAAGCCCGCTTGAAGTGGATAGTTCATGCATTGTAGTGCTTTGTCTCTATGGACACATCCCGAGCGGTCACAAAAAATTGGCAGGCACACAGATGTCTGCATGAAGTCTTGCTCTCACACGCTCAGTGGATCCTTGCAGAATCATGATATGGAAATTTTAACATGCCCATTACTTTTCAGTATTGCTGGCTATGCTAGATTTAGTCGTCTGCTATAAATGCAAAGCTGCCTCTGTGAAATTATTCATTATTAGTTATGGGGACAAGCAAGACAGAATATGTGGTCTCATTTTTCTCCAGTTTAGTTTGTGAGTAGCTCGAAATCAGCGTTGAACGGCATTACACTTCATTTACTGTCATATATGGAAGCCATGCAGGACCATAGTAAACAAAAAAAGAAAATGAAATGCCACACCTGTATTTCCACATTTACGTGTGTTATTTAGAAAAAAAGAAAAAGAAAATGTAATAATCGCCATTATTCTGTATCCATATTACATGAAACAGGAGAAGCTGTTTACACTTTATTTTCAAATAGTTTTAGAAACGATATTCAAATATTAAAATGGAAAGTTAAATGGTATACATACACACAATGCAATTTATTAAACATTCAGCAAGCATTTCCATAGTGAAACAGTTAGAAACTGCATCTGCTTGCAAAAAAGGTGAATGAAATTGCACCATTGTATTTTAATTTCTTTTTAAATTGACAAAACATCTGAATATTTCCCAAAGTATGGCAGCTTATAACTTCAAAGATTATACCTTTTTAACTTTAAGATACATAAAATATTCACAAAGAGGTGTAAAAATTAAACACGCAAATTATATTGTTGCATTTTCATCTTTGCTGAGCACTAAAATGACATTTTCAAGAATACAGGATTTAATTTTAACATTGCCTGAAACGGATTTTCATATTCAAATGCCTAACCTTAAAGAGTCGATGCAAAACCACTCTAGAAAAAAAAAAAGAATAAATGTTATGTGCACTCTACCCCACTCATTAAGCACCACAAACAGTTACCCTTACTCTACATGAAGAGATCCTCCAAGATGTAATCTGGTAATTATTTACTCACTTTAAGTTGGATTAAACCTAGTTTTAGACTATTTTTCCCCTTTGAGGAATTTAGCTTTAAGTCTTGGACTAAGATCAGTGCATATTTTCTGCAAACCTACTCAAAATGTTTCAACCAGCACCTACCAACACGTTTGATTTGAAACCTGAAAGAACAGTGACACTGTCCATTACTTTGACACACTAAGCTTCAGAAATAGCTGTATATTACTATGTGGTTTAAGCATTTGATTTCTAAATGCTACTTTATCCCCATAAAAATGGTGTTAAAGTGCCATTGGTGTTGTGCGTCCCCGGCTGAAGCACTGCCCCTGGTGTGGTTTAGTTTAGTGCCAGGCGAGCAAAGCTATATATGCTGTGGAAGCATCATCTTTAAAAAGGCTAAATTTAAACCCCTCGAGTCCTCGCCTTGGTATGCAGAAGGCTGCCAGAACAACATAAACTCCAAATAAGCCCAGAGGAGCTACTGGTGGACTGCAAGCCTTGAACACCTGGCTTAAAAAGTGCAACAGCAGCTCACCTGGACAACACAGGTTTTATTATTTATTTATTTTTAAAGTGTGTATAGTGCAAACATACCAATAATACTTCTACAAAGAAAGCCGCAGCTGAACAGGTTAAACCCAACCCAACTGATACTGTAGCTATTCCTGTCAAGCTTTCTCATGTGACACTGCTGCATTTTACAGAGATAATGTTGGAAATTTTAATCAGATTGGAAGCAAAACAAACCAGGCTTCTTGTTTTCAGCCACTGGCTGAACAAATAATGTTCTCTGGCAGATTTTGTTGTTTAATTATTCCAACTTATTTATTTTTCAGGCAAAAACTCCACTAAATGTTCTTACGGTAGTATGAATTTGAAGACTATAAACATGATTGTGGTAAAAGACCCAGGAAAAAAAGGAACCTACTTTTATTAGACCTGGGTCATTATTCTTTCATCCTAAAATACATCCTTAATTTATCAAGCTTGCATACTTACTATGTTTTTAAAACTATGGCTTTTAGGAGAATGATTAGCTTATAATGTGTCTGGTCATTTACTACAAACACTGCTTGTAACTCTCTCTGCTCTCAGGAGAAACGAAATGCATAAATCAGTGCCTAAATACTCCTTTTTTGTATTTCCAGTGGCCAGAGTTTAATAATGATTAACTGACATATGTTAACAGAGGAGTGTCAATGAATAAACCTTAATCCGATCCAAGTCATGAACTCAATGACTTTTATTCTAAATGAAACACTCAAAGAAAGCCTGGTCTTAATCAATGAATGCTTCATTTCATTGTATCATAAGGTGGAGTATTAATCATCTCCCTGAATCAAAGCAGAGAGTAAGCTTCGGTGGTACAATATTAAGTTTCAGAAGCAACTGCTGTCTTCACCTTTGACAGAGAAGCTCTCATGACTGCCAGCTTTCTCAAAGTTACACATCAGCAGCGTTGATGCTTAAAGCAAATCACAATGTCGGGGCCTCTGTTACCATCTGACAAGATGAATCCAAAGCTGGACACTTTGCACATTTGGCCATTTAATTACATTGTTTTTTATGTTTTGTTTTTCCTTAAAATAGCAGCTGCAATTACCAAATATTTGGTCGGGTAATTATTTTCCTTCCATATCCATAACAAAAGCCATACTACAATGTCACTTGTTGGCAACAATCATTTAAAAACTTTTGACCGCTACCTTCACAAAAGACACACCACTTGTGCAAAGGCTTATCCCTAAATGTTCAACAGTTTGTAATGGGGTGCATTTCAATTAGCGCTCTTATTTTAAGGCTTCCTGTGGGGGCACGTTTCTCTCACCACAGAGGTTTGATAACAAGCCCCCCCCCTCACAAATCGCTGTTGTCATCAAATAACTGGGATGCCATTGTGACAGTAGAATCTGAGAGGCATGTGTCAGCATATCACAGGCTTCACAAATAGTGGGAGCTGTTAAGAACAAGGTCCCGCCTAGTGCTCACAATCAGACAGACCTCTGACATATAGATCAGAGGTAATTTATATATCACCATCTCTGGGGGCATCGAACTTAAACACTTAAACTCAATGTGACTTAAAAGATCTTACTAGCTATGAAAGCTGCATAATCCAAATATTTGTGGCTCTGGATGAAGTCTCAAAACAAGCCCTCAGTTTCAGCACAATCCTTGACTGTCTAGATTCTAAAAGATCCAAAGAAGGTCTAATGAAAATGACTACAAGTTCCTTCTTTGAAAATAAGAGTCTAGAGGTGTGAGTGATTATTATAGCAGCTAAACTTCCTGGATAGATGCAGTTATAACAAATTTGTCTCCAACAACACATCTAACATTATGGAAGAATTGCATTACAATCGCTGGAGGGGTATTTCTGCAGAGGCTTCACTTTCTCTGACATCCTGTTGCTTTCCTTTAATTTGTGTATAAAATTAAAATCTATCAGCAGACGTCTGAAACTTGCCTGACTTATGAAATACGTCACAGCTAACAAGCATTAACTTGCTAAATATAGCAGCTCATTCTGCAATTCACTGCAACTTTGATGTCAATCTACGAATTATTAACAGTGACGAATTACAGAAGAATGGAAATCAGTGGCTGCTTGAGCAAAAACATGTACTGTAAATCATTTTGGTACCACTTCAATAAACAGTTAATTTTTATGTCAAGTAAGAGTATTTCTGATCTTTATAATCTCATTAAATTTCTCATTTAGACAACAGATTAACAATAACTAGAAATTTGGCCAATTACAATATATCCAACAACTGAAAAACTCTTTCGAATGTGCAAATCAGCAAAAAGTCATCTAAATGCCTCCTGAGATTCAAACATAAATAAAAAATAAAGCTTCATAAAGAAGTATAAAAAAAATTGTAGCCATCGCTTCTGTCCATGTTGTGGGAGTCATATTATTGCTCACGCAACACCAGGGTCACAAAGCTTCAACAGATAATAAGAATACGAGCGCGGTCAAACCGCTACGATAGCTTTTCCCACCACACCAACATACAAGCTGTCATATCATTTACAAGGATATCTGCTGTGCATAACCACGCAGAGCAGCTACACCGTAAGCAATCTGCGTCAAACAACTAAAATAGTAATCGCAGAGGGTGGATTGCGTGTGAGCACAACTTATTGAAACTCTTCTCCCCCAGGCAAAAGAATATAACCATACAAAGTCAAAACAGCAGCGACTGATTGTGTGCGTTGAGCGAGGGGGGGTGGGCAATGTTTCTCGAGAAATCCAAAAAGGGATGATGGGTGGATGAAAATGAGCAGGGAATGCGTTATTAAACGACATGATGGTGTTCACCTTTTTTTTTTTTTTGCCCTTGCACCTGCAGACGGGTCTCATTGAGATTCGCCTCATAAAGAGTCACGTCGACAGGTGCGCCGTGGCCGCGGGGTGCAGCGTGCAACCTGCGGCAACTTCCACAATCATTAATCATGCATATGCGAAAGCAAAGTTAACCACCGGCAATGCGTTAACAAAAACTTCCCCGATAATTCCCCTCGTATAAGAGATTTCTTTAATTCACGAGCCGTCTGCTGCCTCTGAATGCGTTAATTGGCGACAGGAGACTGTGAAGTGTATGGTGTGAATTGGTTCTATCTGTCCGCACCGAGGAAATTTTCTTTACTTACAGTTCTCAAGAACTGGATCTCATCTTCCCCTTCTCCGCCCTCAGCCATGGCTGTGAAGGAGCCTGCTTAGACTCTGGAAGCCACCACTGACTGCTGGCAGAAACGCGATGCTGTGCCTCTCAAGCCGATATTAGCAGAGAGCACATCCACAGCCATATAGGGCAGCCCGGCCGAGCCCCCCTCCACTCCTCTCCTTCCTACTCCTCATCCACTCTTCCTCCTCCTTTCCCTCCCCTCTCCGCGCCCCGACGCCTAGCAGCAGCAGTGCGGATCAGCGGACGGACGGGGCATCAGGGGACGAGCTCCCGGTGGTGCTAGTGGTGATGATGATGATGGCAGCTGATGCTCTGGTGCGTACAAGGATGGTTCCTTGTGCTAAAATAGTATTACTTTTAAAATGTTTGCGGTTTGGTCTCACTCCCTGTCTGATAATGACGCATGCTGGTCTTGACTGGCAGCAGTGGAGCTGAATGCAAAGTTCTGAACGTCCCCGTCTCTCTGTCTGCACCCCCATCCTCCCCCCGTCTCCGACACTTAGCAGTTTTTTCAAAAATCTGGAGACTGGTGTAAATTTAGTTTCGGGAAATGCTCTGCAATGTATAACTTAAAAGTGTAAAAAAGTAGAAAGAAAATATAAAGTTATGTTTTCACAACGTGGAATCAGTGTAGAGACTTTTTAAAAAAACTTTTTTTTACTTGTTTCATGTTGAACATACCTAAAGTGTTGCTTCATTACGTGCTTAAATGCCTGATTTTATGTGAGGAATATTGAAAAAAAAAAATATATATATATATTGTGCTTAAATGTAGTCAGGTTTTCAGAAAGAAATATCAAATTCGATTATAACATATTTATTGCATAAAAGTTGTCTGGGTGTGAAATATTTCACTCACAGTATAACTTGATGCAGTGCAGATTAAATGCAAAAAAAAAAAAATCAAATAACTTGATATAAAAAATTAAGGATTACTGCTCGTGATTCAAAATATTGTGCATGACCAAACTGGTATCTAACTGGGATTTGACTTCGAAGCATTTAACATCCGTCTCTATGCTAAGTAATGCATGTACAGCATTAGTCAGGTGTCAGTCATGTGGGTTTGAAAAAAAAAACTGATCATGAGAAAACGCACTCCACATCATGTCAAGACATGACTGACATCTAGTGGTCATCTTGTGAGGTTCCGGTACATTTTATCACGCATGATCTGTTTAGTTGTTTTCACATTATGGCCACAACAAAAGAATAAATGTCAGTATCATCCAGGAAATTCTGCTCTTTCTTCATACAGTTTAACTAAACCCTCAGTCACTTTTACTGACTCTTTGTACAAGTTGCAACACTATTTACACATTTTCCCATTTTTTCCAATTATGCAATCCTTCTAAGGTCTGGTAATTTCGTGGCCTGTTTGACTGTCTTTGACTTGCTTATCTGCTCCAGTGTCTTTATAAAAGGGATATGAGCACTTTCTTTACCATTAGAGTATTCTTTTTTTTTCTCCTGTTTTGGGAAGTGTACAGTGGCCAGGTCTGAAGAGATAGCAACACTGGCTTGCATGTGCATACATTAATATCACATAATAGGAGATTAAAATCACTTCACAACAACTGTTGTTCTGCATTAAATTTGACACCCTGTTATGCCATTTTTGCATAATCAGATTCATAAGCATCCATCTTCTTTGTCACAGGTATTATTTTTTGTAAAGTTAGTAGCAGTATGAATAGCAGTTTGTTTTCTGTAAATGTTTCTGTGATCCATCAAAGACAGCTGGCCAGTAGTCAGATTAGCCTGACCAGTGTCCAGCTTGGCATGGAAAACAGTTGGCCTAAATACAGTCTCTGATCACTGGACTTCTGCAAGGGCAGATGTGAGTTAAATAATGCAAGTTAAAACTGAGATAAATCAGAACATTTGACAGCAGAATTTCTCTGAGTTTATTCTGAGGTGATGAAACGTAAATAAATACTGAACAATGGGATGTTAGGACTGGAGTGAAAATGGTGTAAAACAGCATGAACCAATATTGAACAACTATGCAATTCATGGTTTGTTTGTTTAATTTATAATGTCAAACACCTTTTTGTTTTTATACAACATTATTATTAATTTTACTTCAATTTAAATCATATCATATATTGTCCTGTGGAGCATAGCTGTCTGTTTCACAAGGTTTAGTCAATACACCAATTTTTAACCCTAAAGTGATAGCCTAGTACAGAGATAAAGAATAAATATACTCCTGCAAAACTCTGTGATAACTATTTTGTCTTTCTTTCAGTATAGTTTGAATTCAAGAAGATTACAATAAGTCTAAATCCCCACCGGGCCTGCCGTCTGTTAGTTTTTCTGCTTCTGTCAGTACCTGTCAGGCATCAGGGAATTAGTGGTAGTGATCTTTAGGTGATCAGCCAATAGAATTTGTCAGAATTTTCAGCTTGCACCAGTGATTGGCTGATCCTGTTGTATCAGTGGGCGTGGAGTTGTCAGTTACCTGAATGTCACAGTAAGTGCAGCTGAGTGCAACAGAGGGGTGACCTGGTGCTTCAAGGAGAGACACTACTGTTCGCTACGAGTAAGTGGACATTTATCCATTTATTTTCATCCTTTTATCCTTTTTTTTTTTAGGTTTGCAATCATTAATTAGTCATTTAAAAAATATATTTAAAAAATGAGCAAAACATAATTAACTTATTGTTAGAGTGTGTAACTGTAAGTCTACACAAGTTCAAGTACTTATTTAAATGGTCTGAAATAAATGTTTCTCTGTTTCTTTTTGTAGCAGGCCCAGTGGTTGGTCACTGATCGTCTGTGATAATTAAATAAAACCATGCAGAGGACTTATAGTAACTTACACCTCTATAGACCCATCAAAGAGAGGAGCTGCGTGAGTCCATCCCTCTCCTCTTGCAGGAGTCTATCGTCCCCCTCCAAAACCCCCGCCAGCTTCCAACAAAAACTGTTTTCTAAGCGCTGGGAGGAGGGTCCAGCTGAAACAGCAATGCTTGGCCACGCAGACAAATCTGGCCTCACAGACTTTAAAGAAACCCTCAGAGCATTGGATGACTCATCTGAGAGCTGCTGGCTTACAGAATTGTTACCGTTGTGTTCAGATTGCCAGGCTTTCATGAGCATGGGCAACCAACTGGGAACCAAACCTAAGCCAAATTGTCACAGTAACACAGAAACTTGGGATGCTTTATCAAACTCCCCCAGAGTCCAGATATCTTGGAAGAGAAGAAGAAGAGCTGAAGGGCATGTTTACACCAGTGACCTTCAGGATAACCTCAAGATGGTATCCGGGACTCCACGGGCACCTCTGAAGGCAAGGAGACTGAGGAAGCTCCAGAGGTTGAGGTCTTCTTCCTTTGAGGAGTGGGATTTTGAAGAAGAGAGACCTATCATTTGCACTCCCACAGTAAGAAGGAAGAAAATTATTAGGAGAGAAAGAGATGATATAAATACTTTAACGCATGAGTTAAAGCCACTCTGGAGAGTAAAGTTGCCTAATACTTCTTCTGCAAGCTTATCTAGATCAAAGAGCGAAACAGTCCATCTCTCTCCCAGACAGAATATGTCTGAAGAGGAAAAATATACTCCTACTGACTCGGACACTGACCTTTCTGAATATGACAATGAGATGTACTCAATGTTTTTCTCCAACACTAGTATGGAGGCAAAGAGTAACAAGACTGCAAGCCAAAAACAAGATGAAGAGAAGGCAGACATAAAGTCCTCTCAGCAGAGGCTTGAGGTGATGGGGCAGAGAGCTGCAGCTCGGCGAGTAATGGGCAAGATTGAGGAGGTGGAAGGAATAATACGCCGGGTGAGTCTCACCAGTTTGGACTGGATCAAGGAATGTCATAAAGGAGAAGAAGAACCTCACTTTCTCTCAGATGGATGGAAGACAGAGGTGTCAGTGCAGAAAAGTCGCAGAGCTGATATCAGTACTCAGTCCCCACTGGAGGACCAGAACAGGGAGTCCAGTGGGGACAAGCCTCTGTTTGTTGAGGAGCTTTGTGCTCTGGGTGACGCTCTGAGACGGAGTCTGCAGCAGGCCCTGAGGATGGAGGGATCAAAAGCAGAGAGTGAAGGCTTTAAAGAGCCCGAGGAGACTTTTTGTGAGCAGAGCCACACAACAGAAGGGTCTCTGAATCCACAATCACCTCCTTACCTCATCAACTCTGTTGTGCCAAACAATGCCTCATCACATCCTCTTTTAGCAGGTGGAAAAATCTCTCCTACGCCCTCTCTGTCTGAAAACCTGGAGGTTTCTCCAATTAAATCAAGCAGCTTAGAAAGACTGTCCCCCATGCTGCCGCCTATGCTCATATCCAGACTGAGCACAGATGATCAGCAAGCAGAAACATCACACAGAGTTTGGACTGAACCACTTGAAGACACCGCAATTATTTGTGGGGCTCGAGACGGTGAACGTGCCAGAGAAAGTGATCACAGGGACACTCAGGAGCAGTTTACAGAGAAGGATTATCTGCTCTCTTCAGGTAAAAATGTTAACAAAAAACAACAATTTAGATGGATGGAGGCTGTCAAGTGGTAGGTCATTGTAGTGATATGATAGTCTTACCCAAAACTCTAATTTCCAGAATAACTGGTGGAAGCACATTAGAATTAAAACAATGGTAGACGGTGGAATTATGACTATTTCGTGGTATTTATATCTTGACTCTGATAAAAAAAACAAAAAAAACATAAACTCTGTGCCATAGAATACACTGTTTTATTGGTAGTACAACATATTTTATGTGGCATAAAAACTCCTTAAAAACAACTGAAATGTATTGAAAGAGCTATATGAAGCTATGCTGTTGGATGCCAACTTGCTGTGCACAAATCAGACTTTCATTTCTCATGTTACCCATTCCTTTGGAAGTGTTGTTATGAATTGAATGAATAATGGGAACAGTTGTTATATGTAGCTGAGTGCTGGCTGGAGCTGATAGGTAAACAGGACCATAGCTGGGCTTTATCCAGGAAAATTAAATGGCGGAAAGCTGGGTGAGGAAACTGTTACGCTGACAAAGATGTTATGGAGATATTCGTGAGACATAAAAATGAAGAATTACTTAGATATCAAAAGATAAAGCAAGCAGCGTAGTCTATAACTTGAGGCTGTTAATAGATATTATCCATAGTGTTAGTGCAGTGTATAATATGAAGAGATGAGCCAGGTTTTTAATACTTTGGCACAGTAATATTCAATCACAGTCCCAACTATTTTACTGCTAACTGCAGAGGTGGGTGTGGGGCAGAGGAGTTAAAGCTTTGATGTATCGCAGTTTATCCTCAAAAGCATATTTTCTGTAGTTTTCATGAATCCTGTCAAGTAGAAAGCGAAAGGTGTAATGAACTATTTTAAAAAGGTCATACCATAGACGTCACACTGGGCTCTCTCTCAGATAATCTTTCGT